TTATGGTATCATGGATGTTTACATATGTTCAAATGCATCAATTTGTACATATTAAATGTGTGCAGTTCTTTGTAAATCAATTATATCTCAATAAAATTGTTAAAAATTAGGGCCAGCTGCAGTGGCTCACGCCTGCAATTACAGCACTTTGGGAGGCTGAGGTGGGCAGATCACAAGGTCAGGAGTTATGAGACCAGCCTGGCCAAGATGGTGAAACCCCATCTCTACTGAAAACACAAAAAGTGGCTGGGCGTGGTGGCATGAGCCTGTAGACACAGCTACTTGGGGGGCTGAGGCAGGAGAATTGCTTGAACCTGGGTGGTGGATGTTGCAGTGAGCCAAGTGATCACACCACTGCACTCCAGCCTGGCCAACAGAGCAAGATTCCACCTCAAAAAACAAAACTGTTAAAAATTAATGCCACTCTAAATGGAAAAGCAAATCATTTTATATGTATATAATTTCACACAAGTACAAATTTTATATTAGTTTTAATATATAAGTACATGAAATATTATAATACTTTGAAATAAAGTCAATCAGAACATACCATCTTCTTTAAACAAAAATCCTACTTTTCCAGTGAATAAAATTTCTAAGCAATCTAATGGCATAAAATATTTGGAAAATTTCAAAATTATCTTTTTATGGTTGATTAAGCTGATTTTTGTATGTACTTCTGTTTTCAAGTTTAATTTGCTTTGAATATTTCATAATACCAACAGATATAACAATACCACCAGAATTATTCTCGCTTTTATTAGTATTTTTCTAATGGCATTTTCTTTTAAACTAAGAGTAATATTTATAACACTGCTGACCAAAGTTCACACGATAACATGAGTCCATTTAAGAAACTGCTTCTCAAAGGGAAGATAAGTTGGTTTGCATAAAGGCTTTCAGATCTTAATGGAAGTTACTGATAGTCAAATACCACCATTTGTAATTCACATAAATATTTATTTCATAGCTATCATTTTCATTAAAGCATTCCTAGAAAGGGTTTTCAAATAACAAATACAACTGACCTTGAATTTTTAGAAAATAGGATATCTATGACCTATGACCTTTAATTTTTTTCCAGACAATTTGAAGATGTTGATTCCTAATTAATATTTCAGTAAAATAGGAGCTAAGAAGAGGGAATATTATTCTATAAACAAAACAATGAATATGCTTTATTTTCTAAGTATATAGCATCACAAGTTTCTATCTTGCTCTACCATGACTTGCTTTCTCCTCAGTGATGTATTTGCATCAATGCACTGGTATACATAGTGTCATCAGTTCATTTTCTGATTAAAAGCACTCAATTTAGAAGATGACTGAAGGGAGATATTATAAGTCCAGACTACACATTAGAGAAATATAATTCATCACTAAGGATCAAAATGTTTTCCTACTTATTAACTCAACAGTAACTCAGTAAATTACCTCTAGCCATACTAAAATTGTTTTTTGAAAGTAGCCTATTTTCAGGAGAAAAGGGTGTGTTTATTTGAATAAAATACAAATGATCTAAAACATAATCATGTTTCAGTTCTTATCTTTGCCTGAATCAGAGAAGCAAAAATATTTTTGCTGAATGAATCTGTCTATGCATGTATTCCCTCACCCCAAAATGACCTTGAACATTAAGACTAAGAATTTGACTGTTCTGAACTCTCTGATGCTACGACATCACTTCTATCACTTATAAAGCCAGAGTCATGGTGTCAGTGTTTTGTTTTTTGGTTTTTGGTTTCTTTGGAATATACATAATATTCTGGAAACAAAATGTTGCTGTTGCAAAATGATGACTTTTTTGAATGAAAAAGGAGGCTTCATTTTAGGGTTTTTTTTCCTTAGATGGTCTCACTCACACCCAGGTTGGAGTGCAGTAGCATGATCTTGTCTCACTGCAATCTCCCCTGCTTGGGATCATATGATTTTTGTGCCTCAGCCTCCTGAGTAGGGGATGACAGTTTTGTGTCACTACAGCCAGCTAAGTTTTGTATGTTTAGTAGTGATGGGGGTTTTCACCATGTTAGCCAGGCTGGTCTCGAACTCTTGACCTCAGGTAATCAGCTGGCCTTGGCCTCCCAAAGTGCTGGGATTACAGGCATGAGCCACCATGCCCAGCCGAAAATCATTTTTATACATTATATTATGAAATGAACCTACACTGAAAACTTACAATGATTATATATATATATATATATATATGCTTTATTTTCTAAGTATATGGCATTATATACTTAGATATATATTATATATTATACTTAGGTATTATATATATAATATCTAGCATATGGCCAAAAAGCTGAAAACACAACAAACAAAACAAACAATAATCATCCCATCTGTTTTCATAGACCAACAACAAAATAATAAAGAAAAACCACTTTCAATGTTATTAGTAAATTTAAGTTGTTCAACATAAACACATCAATTTACATTTAAATTCCAAAATAATGCCAAAATGCTATGGGGTTTTTCTGTATTTTAAATAAAATATACCCTATATATGTATTATTGTGTTCTAAGATACAATATAAGCATTTTAAAAATTAAAAATAAAATGATAATTATTTGCTATAAAATTAGACGTGGCTGTTTTCCACGTCTCAGAAAGAATTTTAGTATTAACGTTTTAGGAAATATAATTTCACTGAATAATTCCTGGAAAAAAATGTGTTTTAGATATATATATTTATGAACATATAAATTCTACATGCTGGATTTAGTAGCAAAAGATGATTTTTGGCAGGGTTTGGTCTGTCAGAAATCTCAAGGTATATCAACTCAAATTTCTACAGAAAGAATATATTGCAATTGCTTATAGTCATAAAATCATAATTTAAAATTATAACATTCATCTCCTCAATATTGTTGTTGTCAACAAACTATTTTAAAAAAATGTTTCTAAGCAATCTTACTTGTTCAAATAAGACAATCCTATTAGGGATATGATTTAGTTGTTGATTGTGAATAAAATTGTCAGAGAAATTCTAAGGGTTTGCTGTAAGAATGCACATTTTTGTTTTTACTTTCAAAACTCGTATCAGAATGCACCACTGTTACAGACAGCTATCGATCACATATTTGGGTCTACAAAATTTGAGTAAACATTATTTTCTCTTTGATAATGTAAATATTCAAAACATTCTATGTCTTTTGTTAAATTATTAAAAAATGAACTTCTGTCCATTCTTCCTGATATGTGTTCAACCCCAAATTTAATTAGAATGCAAAATGAGTATTATTGGAAATAGTAAGGGAAAATATTGAAAAATAAGCAAGTAAACGTGAATTCAAAATGCACTCCAAGCTGCAAATAAACTTTACACATAACAATCAACCATTATTAACTCCAGGGTTTCTAATTCAATGGGTTCCATTTCTTTCCAATTTACTCCAGCGATCCCAAGGCTCTTAGATGTGTAGAAAGAGTACAGACTTCAAATAAGAAATTGTGAAATTTTATCATTCTGTCACAAATGCTCAGCATAACCTACCACTTAGGTAAACATCAAACAGTAATGTTTTGAACTTCCATTTAACTCATGAATAAAGATACCTCATAAGCATAAAAGCATAAAATAAGTGCATATAAAGATATGCACGAGACAGAAAGAGACAGCATGTGCCAACCAGACCACTTTTGCTCTGATATTGACAGACCAAGCAATTAAAGTAATACTCTTTTTGACAACAAGAAAATCTGTAAAAAGCCACAAAAATGTGTCTCTCATGATACAGTCTAGGAGTATGAAGTCAGAGATGTCATATAAGATTTGTAATGCATTTCTTTTGGTCTCTGTCAATTCTAAAAGAAACAGCTTAAAGAGGAAGACTCAGAGAAAAGGTTTCAAGAGATGAATAGCCTCCTCTGAGTAGGGAGATCCAAATTGGGGCTCATAGCCTGCCAAAATGTATGTTGATAGATTGTTAACATTTCTACCTAGGTTTTGAGCTTGTATATCAACAGGTGATGCTACATTTCAAGGTTAACCAAAATCAGACATGTCAAAACAAAAGTAAATCCACCTTTGATTTATTTTAATCTCTACAATTGGATTATGATGATCCAGTTTATGAGAATAAAAATTCTTGCCAGGGCATGTTGGCTCACACCTGTAATCCCAGCACTTTGGGAGGCCAAGGTGGGCAGATCACTTGAGGCCAGGAGTTCTAGAGCAGCCTGGTCAACATGGCAAAACCCTGTCTCTACTGAAAATACAAAAATTAGCTGGTCATGACACACATCTGTAGTCCCAGCTGCATGGGAGGCTGAGGCACAGAATTGCTTGAACCTGGGAGGTGGAGGTTGCTGTGAGCCAAGATTGTGCCGCTGCACTGCAGCCTGGGGGACAGAGAGAGACTGTCTCAAAAAGAAAAAAAGTTACGTTTAATCAGTTCAGAAATATAAAAGACAGAATTATAATCTTGGCCACAGAATGGAAACTAAATCAATTTGAAAGTGGAGCTAAAAAATGTAAAACTGAAATTAAGGGCTTAACGTATGGGTTTACAGCTGAATAAAAGTATTAAATGGTGAATAAATGGAAGAACGTAATGAGAATGAAGTACAAAGAGACAGACAAAAATGAGGTAAAAACATGAAAACAAGAGTAAGAAATTGAGGAGAGGCACTGCCATCTTCTCAGAAACAATTGCAGTAACGGAGGGGAAAGACAGTAAGACAAGGACTATTTGAAAAGATATCTGATACTTTTCCAAAAGTGACAGAAGAAATCAAGCAACATAAAACCTATGCCTATTTTGAACCTAGAAACTACTATCCTGAAATTTACAATCAATATCCGCCTTCTAGATACTTTGATTAGATCCTCTGATAATACAAATATAAAGGGAAGACCCAACCATTGTTTATGACGTGATATGTGTGGCTTTGGAATTGGGCCACAAAGTAGGCAATGGTTGCCATAGTCCTCCTACGTGTATCTATTTGGTATGTAAATTAATTTGTTCAATATTCTTCTTTGAGAGAAGAATTTGTGGTCCTAGCTCTTAATTTTGACTTTCAAAATTATTAAAATCAGTCCTATAAGTTAAGTAACTGACTACAGCTATACAACTGTCAAGCATAATGAGAAGTCTAATCGAATTCTTACTATAAGGAACGGAGGAAACTCTTGGTTCCTGTAGCAGGTTTCCTTTTTCTAACTGCTGGAATACACTTGGCAGCTTACGACAACATAAATTCATCATTTCAGGTTTGTGGGTCTGGAATCTGCCACAGATTAACTGGGTCCTCTGTTCAGGGTCTCATAAGAATGAAATCAAACTATCAACCTGCTACGTTTTCATCTGAGATTAGAGAAAAATCCACTTCCAAGCTGACTTATGTTATTGATAGAATTTTTCATAAAACCCAAGACTCTCCAAATTTGGTTGTCATTTTTCTGCAGCATGACATGTGAGCTAAGCTTTCATCTGATTTATTACACATCAGATCCAATAGACAATATACGGATATCACTTGTCTTGTTCTATCAAAGTAAACACTGCATTTGCACAGAATGTGCACATAAGAATATTTTATTACGGTGACTAACAGAAATCTCTGTTTTAATAGAATCAGAAGTGACACCTGGTATGTGCCGGTGGCAATCAATTACAGTACTTTTCAGAAATGTGTTTTTGTAGTTTGGAGAAAAAAAGTTTTTAACGACATGCAAGAAAAATATTCCACCAATTTTCTAATGACTTAAATTGCAATATGCGAAGCTAGATTTCAGTGTAATCATCAGATGTTTTATGCATGGCTATTGAACGTTATGAGATACACCGCAGTAGCTAATAATAAAAGTTAAAGATCATTTATAGCAAAGTCCGTACACATTAAGACACATAAAATCACACAATATCTTATGCATGCATATTGTAAAAGAGCTCCATAAAGTATCACAATAGACTTTGGAGAAATCAAAAGACTCCTGCGGAGTCTACTGCTGTAAGTAGAAATATCTGAATTTTCAAAAACAAATCACCAAAGAGAAAAAATAATAATGAGTGAAAAATAACTGATACAAAAAAGGTCAGAACTTACCTGCTTGCTGATGCTTTTGTTGCTGGTATCCTTGACAAAGCCAAGAATTATCTCAAGATTTTTTTTTAAAGCGACATTAAAAAAGAAAGCCCCAGGTCAAGACTGAAGCAGAAATCTTAAGAGATATGATAACACACTCAGAAGGATGCACTGATGTCAGGAAAATCTGAAAGATAAATGTGAAATATCCAGGAATTAAATATGTCTAAACTTAAAACTACCCAAAAATGTCCTCAAGAGAATAAGATAGAATCCAATTTTTAAATAAGGTCAAATAATTTGAGAAAACATAGATCTGACTTTTGATATTAATAGCTTTGAGGTGTTAATTGTGTGTTGGATTTATATTAGGTTGATTACAAAAAGAAATTTTATTGGTCACAATTGCCAAAGGGGGGGAAAAAAACCAATGATTTTTCTTTTAGCTCTGTATTTCCATTAAGGCCTTTAAAAATTGCCAGTACTTTTGAAATGGCAGTTACTAAATGGTCCTGTAACCTAATCAAAGTCATTTCCAATATTATTTATTGTTTTTAAATTGTCTAACTTTAGAGACTCTCTTCTACTTCATACATAGGTTAGAATAAGGATAATATTAACTTATTAATTACCTCAATTATCTGAGGAAGAGAGACTAAGCAATGCCAGAATGTTAAGTTTTAGAATAAGGTATTTGTAAACACATGCAAGAGGTTGAATTTTCTTGCTAAGTTTGAAAGATCATTCTGGCATGGACAATGTCCTAGCTAGAACATAAACATATTTTAGAGGCTCCACAGCATCCTGGTTATTGAGTGTGTATTTGAAATTACAACAGCCTAAAAATGCATTTGAGTTAAAAAAAAATATAGATTTTTAAATGTCTCTACTGATGATTCATGGTTAATTTAGGCTGTACAAAGAATTAAAGTTGTTCATTAAAAGGTGTGAAATATGAAGTCAACAACCTACATTGTATTTTTGATTATACCCGTCCTTCCTTCCTTGCTTTCCTTCCTTCCTCTCTTTTTTCTTTTTGCTTTTTTTGAGATGGAGTCTCCCTCTGTGGCCCAGGCTGGAGTGCAGTGGTATGATCTTGGCCCACTGTAACCTCTGCCTCCCGGGTTCAAGCCATTCTTCTGCCTCAACCTCCCAAGTAGCTGGGATTACAGGTGTGTACCATAACACTCAGCTAATTTTTGTATTTTTAGTAGAGATGGGGTTTCACCATGTTGGCCAGGCTGGTCTTGAACTCCTGAACCCTTTTGCTGGCTGCAGTGGATCATCAATTGTTTTCTCTGCTTTGCTTAACATTCATTTACTGATAGAAAAACACATTTACCTTACTTCAATAATAAGGACCACATCCTCCTTGCTGATAATTCCCACTCTCGAATTCTTTAATATCCAACTATTTTCATTACACATTTCAGTCTGGACTGACTATTCAGGATTTTGTTGTCCATGTTAATGTATCATTCCACTTTAAACATGCTTTCCTCAGTGACGTCTTCCGCTCACACGCTTTAAGGTGTCCCTCTGTTTGCTGAAATCAGAATTTAAAATATCCTTCTTGTGGGTTCTTGCAGCTGGTACCTTTATTTATGTGTTGATCACATAGGCCTAAATATGGGAAGCAGAATAATGCTTTCATTCTGATCAATTTTGTTGAATGATGTTTCCATATATTTACTCATGATTTGTAGCTAACTCAACTCAAACAAAATTAATATAAAACATCAGCACTGATTTTGGCATAATGAGGAATCATTTGACACTGAGTAATAAAAACAAAGGGTTTATAAGCAGTCGAAGGACTTTATACATAAACTTTAGTAAAATAGTATCAGCTGTCAAAATTCAAGTAACGCATACTGAAAATAGGAGTAACCAAAGGAATAATAATTGTGTTGCAAACTTGTTATACTTTACTGGCTTAAATTGAAGAACAGACATTTAAAATTAAGAAAAATGATTTTATTTATTCCCCCCAAAGTTAAACTTTCTTCATAGGCCTTGAACAAAATATCTTACCTTTCAAGAAATTACAATAGTATTTGACACTTTCAAAGTGTTGTTAAATTGAAGAGGTGTATTACTCATTTTGAATGTTAAGATTCTCTTCATTTAATATTCACTCTACTTTAACTTCATTCTGGTACATAATAAGATAAAAACACATTTATAATTTGAAGTCTCACATAATGAAAATATTACTTTTAGAAACAAGCACTATTCTAGATGTAAAACATGTTTAGTAGGGAGAAAAGGCCTCTTTGAAAGCTACTCTCAGGTGTTATTATTGAATTGAAGAATTTCCAGGTGAAGGGAAAGAGAACAGCCTTACAACTCCAAAAATGTCAATCTCCATAACAGCAAATAATTTGCCTTTTCAAGTCACAAGACTGCAATTAATCACGTTAGACATCAAAAAAGGAAATTGAGGCTGTTTTTAATGATACGTCCTTGTGTGAAGAAAGGTAATAGTTGTGGAGTACCCAGGTGATTAATTGAGGTACTAATTTAGATTACATGTTGTATGAGTATACAGTTTCTTTGGGGATTGGTGGCATTCAAATAGGGGCTCTTATTTATAAGAATGCTGTAATTGTTCAAAAATCAGTGTTAAGACTGATACAAATATGCTATAAATTATGTTAAAACTGTAAAGTAAATCAATCGATTTCATTAAATTTATATTAGATCAGTTTATATTGCTTTGCCATGGTCTGTTACACTGGTACACTGGTCTATCAAGTTGTAGGTTCACCCTCACAAAATCCATTAAATTTAGTCCAGGTACTTGAGCCCAAGGCTTCATATTTTTTTTGTTGGGTGTTAATACACCATAAAGATAATACTAGACCCCTAACATTTAAGTGCCATAAGATTTCCTAAATAAAGAGGAAATAAATCAGCAAAGTAAAACTGTAGGATAAGAGTATAAATTCAACATTCAGAAATTACCTTTAAAATGTCTGAAATCCTTTTAAGGATAGTTGAGTCTGTTTACATCCTTTGCCAACTTTTTGATGGGTTTTTTTTCTTGTAAATTTAAGTTCTTTGTAGATTCTGGTACAGAAAACCAAACATCACATGTTATCGCCCATAAGTGGGTGTTGAACAATGAGAACACATGGACACAGGGAGGGGAACATCACACACCGGGGTCTGTCAGAGGGTGTCGGGGCTAAGGGAGGGATAGCAGGGGGTGGAGGGATTGGGGAAGGATGACATTATAAGAAATACCTAATGTAGATGATGGGGGGATGGATGCAGCAAACCACCATGGCAAGTGTATGCCTACGTAACGAACCTGCACTATCTGCACAGGTACCTCAGTACTCACAGTATGTGTGTGTATATATATATATATAAAGAATAGTTGTAGTATCGTTTCCCCGATAAGACTTGTAATCTAATTAAGTTAGGTGTCCCTTCTATGTGTTTGCATAATTCATGGATTCCTAATATCCTAACATTTAATCATACAGTATGGTAACTATCTGTTTAGTACTTTCCTTTTCCATTACACTATAAAAATTGTGAGTGCTGTGCCACATTTTTTTTTAAGTGGGGATCACACTTAAGGCCTCAACTTAAAATGTCCTTCTTCAGGGTCACGTTTCCTGATTAGGATACATTAGCCTATTACAATCACTCAAAGAAAGGTCTATACATTTTTGTTTGTTTAAGCACATATGCTAATTGCAATTAAGCACTAAATTGTTTGTTTGCTTTTTTACTGTCTGTTAGCTCATGTTCCCTGAGATTAGAGATTACACAGGGTTTATGTTCTTCTCTGCTGTATTCTCAGTTCTAGCCCAGTGCCTGGCAGCCAGTGCTCAACAAATGTTTATGTCATCAAACATTATCCACTTAATACATGCTTCATAAAAGTATCAAGGGCTTTCTAAAGTTTTTTGCATGAAAGCCTTTACTTCAATAACATCATTTGTAGCACTATAAATTATATATAATATAGTTTTATATATAATTTATAAGAAATATAAATTTATAAACTCTATAATTTGTATATTCACAAATTATATAAATATATGCACATATGTACCAAATCAGGAGTCAGTAAGGAAAACGCAAAGAACTCAATTTAAAAATGGGCAAAACACCTAAAGAGACATTTCATCAAAAAAATATTCAAAAATGGCCAATAGGTATATGAAAAGTTGCTCTCAAGAAAAGGCAAATCAAAATCTGTAATGAGAAAACAACTGGTTAAAACAAAATACAATTGTTAAACATAAAATGATTTCTTATACTAAATATTTATGAAAATGTAAAGAAATTGGAATGTTTATACATTTCTAAGAGTGTAAAATTATCCTACAATATTAAACAACCCTTTAGCAGTTTCTAATTAAACATATGCCTATTTTATGATCCAGTGATTCCCCATTTTCTGTATAAATCCAAAGTAAATGAGTGCATAAACCATTAAAAATACCTGTAGGAGAATGTTCACAGAGGTATTATTTAGATAGTAAAAATCTGGAAACAAACTAAATGCTTATTACCAGGAAAACTGATTAACAAACTGTAGTATAGTCATACAATGAACTATCACACAACAACTTGAAATAATTTCTGATACACACAGAAATTAACAGATTGCAAAAATATTACAAGTAAAAGACTATAAGTATACGCCCAAAACTAAATATACATAATCCTATTTATACAAAGTCCCCAAACAGGCAAAACAAATCCACACTTCAGAAATTTAAATAATGGCTACCTCTGTGATGAAAAGGGGTTTTACAAACTTGGAATGTGCATGAGGTACATGATACCAAACTATTTTATCTCTTGGTCTAGATGATGGTTACCCTGATGTATACACGTGTGAAAACATATTTGATTCATACAGTTACGTTAGCTTAACTAACACAAGTTAATATATGTATCTTGTTCTCCTTAAAGAAAAATAAAACTGGGGAAAATTTAATGAAGAGTAAGACATTAACATTTTCTCTTTCAGCTAATAAAATTTGTGTTAATAGCTGAGTTACTGCTATAAGAAAAAAGAAATCAATGGAACACAAGACAGAGTAGAGAAACAGCTCAATGCATAGATCAATACTTTAGCTCTGAATACGGTATTTTAGGGCATTGAATAAAGAATAGAACCTGCACAATCGCTTCTCCATTTCAGGAAGGAAGGAAGAGAGGGAGGGAGGGAGGGAGGGAGAGAGAGGGAGGGAGGAACTCCACTTCAGATCCTAAATAGATTTTATTATCAAGTGTATCATAAGTTAAAAAAAATAAAAGCTTTAGAATAAAATATGGAGGATTATATTCTTCATAATAAAACCTATTATTTATATAGTGTTTACTCAATCAAGCATTGTGTACTACTAGGCACTTCCAAAGTTTATATTGATTTGCTTATTCAATCTCAAAAATCTACTTTATGAGTAAGATACTAATATTATCCTCATTTTACAAGTGAAGAAGTAAGTTATAGAGGAGGTATTTATTTTCCATTGCTGAATAATCACCAGTTCATCAGCTTAAAACACCAGTTCGTTTTCTGTGTCTGTGGGTCAGGAAGGCAGCACACTTTAGATGAGTTTTCTTGCTAAGGGACTCATGAGGCTGAAATCAATGTGTTGGCTGGCCGTGTCTTCATCTGGAGTGCCAAATAGGAAAGAACTGCCCCAAGACGGTCAGGTTGTTGAAAGAATCAGGTTCCTTAGGTGTGTAGAACTGAAGTCTCCAAATTCTTGCCAGCAGTTCAACCACTTTCAGGATCTCGCTCCCTGATCCCCTTCACAGGCCATCTCATACTTTCAATCATCTGACTTAAGGACCCCGCTATCGGCCTAAGCGTCCCCACACTTCCATTCTCTCTAATTTCAGGAAGGACTCAATCTATTTCAAGGACTCACCTGATTAGTTCAGCCCTATTCAAGTAATCTTCCCTTGCATGAACAGCATGAATGAGGAAGCAAGCCAATTTGACCGGCTTAGAATTCTCAGTTATTGCATCATTATGTGCATAATGAATTATTCTTTATGTAAAACACAAAACATGCAAACTAAAATGAAAAACAGTGATAAATTCCACTATTTTAAAATTTTGTAAGACGTCTTCACAAAAGATGTATTAGTGTCAAAACTATAATTACAACCTGGAGATAACATCTGCAACAAATATATAAATTAGATGACTGGGGAGAAAGAGAAAGTAGGGAGAAAATAAAACTATATTCAGGTACTTATATGTATATATAACCATACAAGTATATAATAAACTCATAAGAAAAAAACAGAAAAATGACAATTGTGAACCAGCATTTCACAAAAAGATAAATCAAAATGGTAAATAAACTTATGAAAAGATTCCTAACATAATTTATAAACAGGAAATGCAAAATACAATTCTAAGAGAGAGAATTATGGATTTATCAGATTGAGAAAAATGAAAAGTCCACCATTGCTAAAAACTTTCTGTCAAATTTTTGGAACAATGGGAACATTAATTGATGGTGAGACTATATTAGGAATACTTATAATGATTCCCCAGCAAGTATGGTGGCTTCTTTAGGTGGATACTAGACTCTATCAGGGTTATGGGAGTTCTTTCAATTATTGTTTTTTTTTATTTTATTCATAATGTTGTTGAATTTTATTGATGATTTTTAAATCTATTAATACGTGTATATATTTCCTATATGGCATAATTTCTGAATTTAATCAAATTTAGGGAAGCCACATATATTCTAATGTTTTATTCCATCCTGGTATCTATTTTGTCCTAAAGTCCTACACTGTTTTCCTTAATTATTCTGCTGAAATACCTTTAAGGTTTCTGCATGTTTGTTAACAGCTAAGATTGACCTATAGTTATCCTTTTTTTCCAGTATGATTTATGCATATCCAAATTATCTTACCCTTTAAAATAAATTAGAGTTCCCATTTTGAATACAGTTGGAAGTAACTGTGCTTTAAAATTTATGTTTTGTTTTAACTGGGCCTGTGAAGAGTTTTAGACTACTCCTTTGCCAGGAGCCAATGGACAAATATGGAGACATTTATCATATAATTTGAATTGTTTATAACTATTAGTGTATTCAAGGGTTCTGCTTCTTGCTACATGTTGATTATTGTCACAGAATATTTCCTGAGAGTGTACAATATTCCCTTTACTCTAAATCCTCACCAACATGTGCTATCTTTGATTCTTTGATAACAACTAATCTAACACATATGAAATGATAATTCATTGTGGTTTTAATCCACATTTCTGTGATTAGAGATGTTAAATGTAATATACACCACAATTACTTTTGCACCAACCTAATATCTGCTGACCTTTGTATGACTTCTTATAAGAAATGCCCATTCAGGGTATTTGCCCATTTTTTAATAGGATTGTTTCCTTATTACTGTGTAGTCTGAGTTCCTTGTATATTTTGAATGTTAACCTCTGATTTATAACACACAGATTAGAAAAAATATTTACAAATGTGTGATTTGTAAATATTTTTTCTAATCTGTGTGTTATATTTTACTTGGTTAATTGTATCCTTTGCTGTACAGAAATTTTTTGGTTTGATTCAATCTTATTTCTCTATTTTTATTTTTGTTAACTGTGCTTTTGGGGTCATACTCAATAATTCACTGCTCAGACTTGTGTGTCAGGAGTTTCCCCCATGTTTTCTTCTAGTAGTTTTACATTTTTAGTTCTTACATCTAAGTTTTTAATCCATTTTGAGTTGAATCTCAAAGGGTAAGATGAGTCCATTTTTATTTTTCTGCAAGTGAATTTCCAGTGTTCTAAGCACCATTTATTGAAAAGAAATGTCTTTTCCCATTATGTGTTCTTGGCATCTTTGTCAGAAGTCAATTGACTATAGGCGTGCAGATTTGTTTTGCACCTCTTTATTCTAATCCATTGGTTGGTGTGCCTATTTTTATGCCAGTACCACAGTGTTTGGGTTACTATAGCTTTGTAATATATTTTAAAATATGTTTAATGTATAATGCCTACAACTTTGTTCTTTT